TGAACCTTAACCTCCTCAAGAACAAATTCCACAAGATATTCCACAATCCTCAACTCAAGCAGACCCTTCATCTAGTCAACAACCTCCACAAATGCACTCGGAACCCTCTTGCTTCTCGGATGTGCAATATAACACCTTGTCTGCATGCATATTTGAGTTAGAGACTGGTCAGCGAGCTCTTTATTCCCAGAATAGTTACATCATCAGTAATCAGGAGGAGTTAATGAAGAAATTTGATAATTTGGATATGAAGCTAAATGCATATTTTCAAGGAAATCAATCTCCTCCAGGACCTTTATCTTAGAAGACTAGGAATGCATCATTTAATATTTGGATGAACTTTATGTTTGTTATCAAAACAATTATGTCTTATTTTGGTATGTTTAAGTTTGATTGTTATCAAAACAATTATGTCTTATTTTGGTATGTTTAAGTTTGATTGTCACAAACTATGTCGTAGTTATTTGTTTTTAAGACATATGTAATATGTGTATGTCGTAGTTATTTGTTTTTAAGACATATGTAATATGTGTTATGTTGCTACTATGTTTCTTATATGAATGCATTTTATGTTTTTTTATGGTGATTAGTTAGTTAATTCATGTGTTATATATTTTAAACAAATTATGGTGATGAACATTGTGGAACTTTTGGTTTTTATGGAAAGTCTTTGCCTACCTATTTGGATGAGTGAGGTTATGGACTATGTTCATAATCTAGATGATTTGTTTGAAGTACTAGCTCATGAAGAGGAAATTATGATATGTTTAGGATAGATATGTGTTTCTTTTTGTTAATGACAAAGGGGGAGAATGTTTTCAGAATTTATATTTTTTAGACTCAAAAATATGAATTGTAGACTCTAATATGTTTTTATGGAGGGGGAGTAAGTATATATTTTTAAATATACTTACATATGCATAAATTTTTTGTCATCATCAAAAAAGGGAAGAATGTTGGATATCATGTCCCTATGATATAATTTTGATGATAACAATTTATTCATAATGTGAATCACTATGTGTGTTATACAAATGCACTAACATTTAAATGCAGTTTTTAACATCAAATATGAACAAGTGCAAGATGAGTTCAAGGCATTATAAAGTAAAAAAGATGAAGAACAAATACATCAACGTAATTTTTACGTTTTTCTTTACTTAGAAATATTGTACAAGCCTTGATCACTAACACACACACATAGAAATTAGAACATACTAACACAGGCTTAGTGTGTTGGTTAACAATAAAAATCCCTTATGTTAACCATTAGAGTATTTAGTTAATCATTGAGTCTAAAATATTTCATACATAACATTTTTACCCTTAGTAGTCGACTAATTAGAATAGTAGTCGACTACTAAAGTCTAAGTTCAAAATATAAGTTTTTGTAAAACTACAGAGTAGTCGACTACTAAGGGACTACTAAGGATTATAACCGACTACTCAGCTTTGAATTTTGATTTACAGAATATCTGTTTTACAGAGTAGTCGACTACAAGCAACTATAGTCGACTACTGAGCTTTGAAATTTATTTTACAGAACATTTGTTTTACAGTGTAGTCGACTACTAATAATTATAGTGGACTACTGATCTTTTATTTTTGTTTTTAAGACTTTTTGTAATACAGAGTAGTCGACTACTAAGCTTTAGTTTCTAAATTCTAGACTTTCTGTATTACAGAGTAGTCGACTACTAACCATTATAGTCGAATACTAAGATAGTTTTTCTGAACGTTTAAGTTTAAACTTGTGACAGTTTTTAGCCATTTTTTAAACGTTTTAAAGTTTAAAAATTTATCTTTTCAAGGGCTATATAAAGGTTATATGTTCAGAAAAATGACACATGATTCTATACCCATAAGCTTCAATCTTTGTGCATTGTTCAAGAGTTAAAAACATTCAAATTTTTCTAAGTATTGAGAAAAAGATTTTTTTTCTGAAATTGCCTTTGATTATCATTCAAAATACATATTATTTAGGCAATTTTTAGAGGTTAAAATTATTCCTAAGCCACTGCTACACAACACTTCAATTCAAGGCTTATAGGAATTGATGTAGGCATATAAAATTGCTTATAGGTCCCTTAGCTCAGCTCAGTACAAACCGACAAACCAACGAGGCGACGAGATCGACGAATCGCATCAAGCGACGGAATGCATCCATACACGTGCGGGATCAAGCCAAGTGTTCGAAGAGTCAACGAGTCATCCAACCAAAGGCATACTCGGACGAATGACGATCGAATCAAGATCGGTTTCGGACTCCAACTCAGAAGCGGATTTACTGCCTAATCGGGATCCGGATTTACTGCTAAATCAGATCAGCAAATCGAATCCGAACCTATCAACTGCAGAACCGGAAAACGGGCACAAAGAGGCAAAACGACAAACACCCGGAGGACGGCTCACCGAGCCACCAAGGTGGCTCGGCCACCACCGAGCCACCAGGTGAGATTGAAACTTTGGGACTTCGGGGACTCACTCCTTCAGATCTGGTGCTCGGCGATCATCAACGTCAAATAAGGCAGGTGTTCGAGAGGATCGGATCTCAGATCTACGTTGCTACACTCCGGATCTAAGCTTGGTCTTAGATCCCGAGACTTGGACGATTGTTTCCTTGGTGAAACAATCCTCCCCGGCTATTATTTCCTTGGTGAAATAATACCCGTTGTACTGCGTAGATCCGACCGGATCTAGATCGCGCGGTGGTCCACGGCAAACAACCCCGGCGCAGGCAAAGAACCCACAAAGCGAGCGACCGCAAAACAGGAGCTCGCGATTCGTTCGACACAAAAGGAGAAAAGTTGTAATCTTTGTTTATTTTTATTTGATTTTCGTTGTAACCGGATCTTATAAAAAGACCGGATCTTTTGTAACTCAAAAAGTTGTAACTCAAGATGACAATGGAATCAATAACAAAGAAAGACACGAATTTTCCAGCGAACAATCTGGCGACCACAGTGGGAGCCACCGATCTCGCTGCCGAGATCGGAGCGTCGCAGCCGCGGATTCAGATCCCAGTCGTGGAGGAGGTCGAATACGAGTTCGATCAGACCAAGTTCGAGGAATACCTTTCATCCTCGTCTAGATCAACCTCCCCCCGCAAGTCCAAGAAGTCCAAGTTCTCTTCCAACAGAAAGGTGCGTTGGTACGAAGAAGTTGAAGCTACCAACGACGACCTCATCTCGATTGACGCCAAAGTTGCGTCAGATGAGGCTCCACCAATCTCCAACCAGATCAAGCTGGTTCCAACCAATTCCTCCGTCACCAAAGGAGCGGTGACTCTCTCAAAGAGAGCCCGCCAAAGGCAACGCCAACGCTTGGCCAAACAATTCGCCAAAGCGATGGAGTCCACCGACGGAGTCCGCTACAACGCGGGTCTGAAGAACAAGAGAGGCAAACAGCCTCAACAACAGATGAACGGCGCCTCTTCCAAGCCGCCAACAATGGAATGGGTCCGTGTCAAATGGAACCGATCAACGCTGGAGGAGCACATTCGCAAGCGCCGCGCACTATCAGCGCAGGCACGGGCTCAAGCCGAAGAAGCCCGTAGAAAGTTGCAGAAAGAAGTGGCCAAGAAGCCGCCACCAACTCGCAAAGTTTGGAGGCCGAAGTCTGAAGCGGCGGTTCAGAACAAAAAGCAGCAATTGCAACCTCCAACCAAAATTCAACCTCCGACGAACCCAGCTAAGTCGCCGAGAATTCCCATAGCTATTCCGGGAGATCATGCAGAATCCTCCCGAAGAAGAAAGCCAGTCTTGGAGCGCCTCGGTCCAATTCCCGA